CACAAAGTTTCATAAGAAAGTTGTAACAGTTAAATTTGAAACTTCATCCATCTGCAGAGAAAAGCGGCTGTCACGCACCTTATCATTAAGGTGCTCCTCTTTGACAGATATTTGCCTGCTGATTGTATTATTGGACAGAGGAATAGCCCATAGTTTGCTGGCTGCTGTGTCATCAATCATAGTGAAAACCATAGCCACAGCACAAGGAGTATTAATTCTTTGGCAGTTGTGCGGCTTTTGAGACTGTGCCACTCAGTAGACAACTTTATAGGAGATGAGATGAGCATCTGCCGGCACAAATGCAGCTTTAGTAAAGAGACACTGTTCTTTGCTGAACCAAACCATTGAGACGTTAAAGAACAAAGTGCTTCCTGCAGCCTTTCTTTTGCATGCATCAGGCACACGCACGAAGGAAATGTGTTTCATACAGTTATTAGACCAGTCTTATCTTATCATGGCCCTGCTTTGTTCTGGTTGTAATTTTGGATTCTAAGATATTTAATGTACCATAATAATTCATAACAATTTATAGCTGTTGAGCATTTATTTTGCTTTTTATGCTTTTTGGCTAAATTACCCCCTTACAGACATACTGCCATATCTAATTTGTTACAAAATTAAATCAAATCCAACACAAAAATGAGTATGATGGACCATGTTTTGGTTTCCTAGAGCAGGAAATGTTCCTGTTAGACGTTTTTTGGAAAAGAAAAAAATGTACTTCTTCTGGTGTAAGTCCTTCTAAGCAACCTTAGCTGCTGGGCTCTATGCTGATTAGTTCAGAGGCTCAAGAGTAAGTACAAGCAGCACACACATGTGACTTTTGGTGGGCAATTTGTTGCTACTTGTGTAGTGTATTTTAAAAAAAGCAACTAAGCCTCAGTTTGGAGAAACTTGGAGAAACCCACAAGACATTCATGGTTAGTTGTATTTCGACATTTTCCAACTATTTGCTCATAATGTGTGCCAACAGGCATTTTCAGCATTTTCCTTTTCTGGATATTTTTAGATATTAATTATTTATTTTTATCAGGATATAAACATCTGAACTCTTTCATCCCTCCCTGACGACTACAGTAGAAAACAGAGGTGTGTGTACTTTCAATGTGAGTCTTCTGGACAACAAAACTGTTCGAAACACCACAGTTTTTTTCCATCTTAAGAACAAACACTTGACATACTCTGCTTTTATGTTCATGATAGCAGGAGAAAATGCCTCCCAAACGATCAAAGAACATGGGAGATATTAGGGACTTTCTTTCCAAGCAAACAGTAAGTAAAAACTAATAATACTGCAATGTTATTGCTTCCCCATTTCTACTCTGTATTTATCAGCCAAATTAATTTATCTGTGCTTTTCTTTTTTTAACAGAACAGTCCCAGTGGCAGCAGCAGCAAAGCAAGCATGCAGCCAGAAGGACCTAAACCCCCTCAGGTGAGGTCTTATGTCAGTGTGAAAATAGCTGATTGAACAATAAATAAGCTCGTAGGTTCTTGACATGTTTAATATTTTATGTAAACATGGAATATGAACCTTTACATTTCTGACACTGTCAATGAAAACTGAATCTGTGTGAGCTTTATAGGGAGTTGAAGTATGATTGATGAGATATGCACATACCAGTGATTTGGTCTGAGGGCCACTTCATGCTTCACATCTCTGCAAGGGTCTGCTTCATATTATCCAACACTGTGTGCAACCCACAAATTGTGACAAAGGAAGGTCATACAAGGAGATTCACCATTTTTCACACTTTTGTAATCAGAATGCAAAATTTTAATACCAAATATTCAAAAAACATGACATAAAAGTACTTTTAAATAATCCACATTACAAACTAAAAAAAAAAAAGCAAGACAAAAGACATTATTAGGTTAACCTTAAAAAACAGGACTTCAGCCAATATTATTACAAACACTAGAGTTCCACAGGGTTGTGTCCTCCGTCCCATCCTCTACACCCTGTACACCCATGACTGTGTCACCTCCAACAAAGATAACATCGTTTTGAAGTTCACCCACGACACTGCAGTGATTGGCCGCATCACTGGAGGGGACAAAGCAGCTTACAGGAGAGAGGTGACCGGTCTGGTGTCATGGTGTGAGGACAACAACCTCACCCTCTACACTGACAAGACAAAGGAGATGATAGTGGACATGAGGAAGAAGAGGAGGCCTCACCAACCAATGTCTATCCGGGGACTTGAAGTGGAGAGGGTGAACAGCTTTAGGTACCTGGGCGTCTACATCTCCAAGGACCTCACCTGGACACTGAACACCACACAGCTGGTCAAGAAGGCTCAGCAGCAGCTGTATTTCCTGAGGAGGCTGAGGGAATTTGGTATGTCGGCCAAGATCCTCAGCAGGTTCTACAGCTGCACTGTGGAGACCACACTGACCAGCTGCATCACTGCATGGTATGGCAGCACTATACTGCTATGGACCGCAAACGCCTGCGGAGAGTGATAACAACCGCGGAGAAGATCATCAGGAGTCCGCTGCTCTCTCTGCAGAGCATCTACAATCACAGAGTCCAGAGAAGAGCTGCCTCCATCCTCAAAGACCCCACATGCCCCAACACGGACTGTTCACACTTCTGCCCTCAGGACAAAGGTTTAGATCCAGAACATGCAGACTCAACAACTCCTTCTTCCCCACTGTCATTGAACAGCTGACCTATTTTTGAACAGTAAAAAATAATTTTTTGCACATCAGGTCATCCTGCATATTAAGCCAGCATATTACAGCCACAGGTCTTTTGCACACATCTCTGTTTCACAATTCAATATTTTGTCTCCTTTTCTGTCTTCATTTATTTATTTGTACTATTTGTATTTTTTTCTGTCTTATTTCTATTGTATATATTAACCGGCATCTGAGGGTGGACAGCAAAGAAAGAATTTCATTGCATAGAGAAATGCTTTTTTTTTTTCTTTGGACACATGACAATAAACACTTTGAATCTTGAATAATTTGATATGTATTTATATATTTATATTTATATTTGTATTTATATATTTTAATATCTGTTATTTCTGCAGGGATTTACGCCAACTCGACCAAAGGAGGAAAATGACAGTGATTCCACTGTAAGTATACCGTGTTACATTACATGACCAAAATACTGCTCTGCTTCTTTAGTACCACTGTGTTTCTAACCATCTCACTCTAATTTCCTCTAGGTTCAACATTCCCATGAATTTACAGTGAAATTCAATCAAGCTAGTTATGAATATACTGTTCAGTGTAATCAGCTTTGCACAGTGCTGGAAGCCATAAAATCAAACGAGAAATGCAATGAGAAGATTAAGTGTGCAGATGAGAACATTATCATTCAGCTAGGTAAAGAGGATAAGAAGTCAATTGTTGCAACACATTTGCCCTGTTCTTGTATTGATGATGGTGAGTGTCTGATCATATCACGTAGAGCAGAAAAAGTTGAAGGTAAAGTCCAACATTCCAAAATAGTGCATCCAAAAGGGCACTATTCTGTCTTCTATATAGACACAGTTGGTGGGCTACACACTAAAACAAAGGAACTTTTTAAAAATAACGATGTAAAACAGTTCAAGAACCTCTGTGTTTATGGAGAAAAGGGAATAACTGTGGCTGAGGCTCTGAAGAGAGACGGTCGCTTCATTGATGACCTTGGCAACTTTGAGCTGTCCAACAATCAGGATCCCAAACGCTTCACTGTATGCACACAAAAGGTAGAAAAACTACACCAGAAACAATTCAAGATACGCCTTCCAAAAGATAAAAAAGAAAACAATGGAAAGTCACAAGAAAGCCCAACAAATAATTCTCAAAGTAATTGTGAAAGAAGATCAGAGTCAGAGATCGTCTATTTAGCACAACAGGAGGGAATCCGTGTAAAAACCGCAGTGAAAGAAACCAGCAGTGATGCTGATAGAAACAAGATTTATGAACTACTGCGTGAGCAGTTTCCAGATCTGAAACGATGGATGGAGAGTAGATTCCCTGGTGATTTGTATCAGGAAGCACTGAATCTCAGGAAGGAAAACTTTGGAAAGATCCAGCAGTCCTTCAGTGAAGTTCACAGAGTCAGGAAGCTGCTAGAACTGGGAAAGTCAGTTTGCAAAGTCATTGTTAAGGATGTTTCTATGGGAACAGGCTTCGTGCTGTTTGATACTTTCATCCTGACTAGTGCACATTTGTTTCAAGGTTTTGTTGAAGGGAAGGAGCTGCAGCAGGATGTAGAAGTGCTTGCTGTATTTGACTACGAGAAGTCTGAGCCAGAAACAAATTTCTACTACTTTAGAGCAGAGAATACATTCACTGACTTTGATGCTGATCTAGATTATGCAGTTCTGGAGCTCAACCCTGAAGGCTCAAAACCAAACCAGCAAACAAGAGCACAGAATATAAAGGTACCACCAGGGCTGCTCAGTGAGTTTGGACCACTGCCTGCCAATGGTGAAGCCTGCATCATTGGACACCCAGCAGGGGGGTGAAAAAAATGGATCCTACATGTATCATTGAGACAGATAAGAGAGGGCAGGCTATTGATGAACATTTGTATCAGTACAAAAACCTGCTCATCATCAAAACGATCAGTGATTGGCTCAAAGAGCATGGCATTAATGACATATTGATAGGTGGACGTAAAGCAGGAAAGGTAGCGACCTACCACACTTTCATGTATCACGGTGCCTCTGGTTCTCCAGTGTTTGATGGACTTGGCAGAGTTTTTGGTTTGCACACTGCAGGTTATATCTGTGATTCAGTCAACAGTGATGAGAGCGTCATTGAATATGCCATTCCTCTTCTTACTATATTTGAAAACTTTGTGGAAAATCTGAAGGAAAGTGAAAATAAGGAGCTGTTGAAGAAAGCTGAGAAGGCAGCAAAAAGAAACCCACACCTGAAAGAGATACTCAATGCTGAGGAGCCAATGGAAGCCAGTTAGGTATACAGATTAGGGCAAAGTTGCAAACTATTTCTGATTTCAGAGATTCCTTTTTTTCTAATGCATTATTCTTCAAAGAATTGAACACATAAGATGTAACCTGAACCTGTGCCTCTGGGGACCTGTGGTATAAGGCACAGGAAGATTTGAAGCTTAGTGAAGTTACTGTAGCCCTATACTGAGAGAGATTACAGTCAAAGCTTATACTGCAGACATAACCTCATGCTGAGTAAAATAATTTATATAATAAGAAAATTTCTGACTTTGCGACTGAAAAACACAGATACTTTGTATTTACCCATAAAGGCACACTACAATGATATAGATGTGATGTTTTAAAACCAAGCTTGTAGCTGGCCTTAGTTTAATGTTTAGACTTTAGTAGAAGTTTCTACTTAGTGGGTGTGTAGCTTTCTGTTCAGATGTATTACCCAGGGTTTTTATTATATCTGTTTTTTTTGTTTTATAACTAATGGTGTTATGAAAACCATCCTTTGAAAATCATGTTGTTTTACCCCTTGTGTTTTAACATTGCTGTGTATGTTTAGTACAATGTAATACAAACCATATGCTGTTAACCTGTTTGTGACATGTTTAGTGTTGTCATTATGAACTGTAATGTTTCTTTGTTTTAAACTTTCCTTCCTGTTGAAAAAGGAAATTTGTTTATTTCAAGTCAAGATTCTTTACACTCTATTCTTGAAAAACCCACACAGGAAAAGATTTTCTGTCAGACACATTTTTTGAGGTTTGGTGTACATGCCTTTTTGGCAAAACTTCCCAAAGATAAAACGTGTCATAGTGAGTAACACCAATCCTTTTCTCCTGTTATTATTTCAGTTCTGAATAAATTTTTAAAAAAAAATGCTAAACTCACCTTCATGTTAGAGTGGTTCAATTTTTTCAAAACTGGTGGGAGAAACGTTTTGTTTCATCCAAGTGACTTCTTCAGTCTAGAGAGTATAAGAATATACTTATATATAAGTAGCTGCACTGACTATAACAGAAAAGCTCTACAACGCATTGTGAGAACAGCTGAGAGGATAGTTGGTGTACCACTCCCCTCCCTGCAAGACATTTACACCACTCGCCTCACCCGCAAAGCCATCACAATTGTCAACGATGCAACCCACCCCGCGCACTGTCTGTTCAGCCTCCTGCCCTCTGGAA